TCAGAGTCTTTTGCAACACACCCCTAGAGTTGCTGAAATGCTATCTACCAACTTTGAGATCTCAGCTGGTTTCGATGTTCGTGAAATCAAGAAAAGAGAGTTCGAGGTTAAAACAAAGGATGGAGTGTAAAGCCATCTTTTTTTCAACAATGTCTTTGTCATTCGATCCAATAGCGTTCCGTTAGATAGGAACATATTTGATAAATACTGATAACTCTCGGATAGAGTTGTCTTTCCATGTTAGTCTAACCAACAAAAAATGTAGCTGTCTTCAATTCCAAATGTTAATGATCCCTTGTACTCATGCTGTTGCTGTTGCCGTGAAGTCAAAAAAGGAAGTTAATATTTTAGTTTCCATAGACTATAGTACAGAGAATTGGAAGCAAGCATATGAAGAGGCTATAAACCCAGCAACCGAATTAAACTCCGTACCCGACTTAAGTTCTGCATTGGGAAAACTTATTCTGTATGCACCAAGTACCAAATGTCCACCTGGTAGACCGTGCAAGAAACATTTCTTTTCGCGTGGAGAAACTCATGTAAGCTCAGTTTAATTACCCAATTTTCTAAAATAAATTACTGAGATCATTAACTAAGCGTCTGATTTTTGTGTGATAGCTGAAAAACATGAGGCGTCGGATATTGTGCAGCCGGTGCAAGCACCTTGGACACAACCGAGCCACATGTAAAATCCCAATATGAAAAGTGATGTGTGAAAGTGCAAGTAGAAGTTGATGTTGCGTCGTCTTGTCCATGTTATACCTGGGTCAACAAAAACCATGTGACATATTGTATGATATTAACATATCATCCCAGATGAGACCTTTCCCAACTCTGTATCTAAATAAACTTGTCTTTCAAAGAATAAACTCATGTTAAATATATGTAATCGAAAACATTGTATAAACCATGAAGTTCCTTTATAATCTGCCTAGTTTGATAACTTACGGATAATTTGGTCTTTGCTTGTTCATACCAATAGTAGACGGTTACTTTTACGGATATCTGTCACTCTCTATTCACATACATACTATTAAGCATCCAATTCAAGTCAACAATCACAGAACTATAGCTAATAAGAAATAAGTTTTTCGGATATAATTACTTATATGTAAACATATAGCATGAGTACCTTAAATAAACGATCTTTCTATCCTTAAAATCAATTTACAAACTAATCATACAAGTTCCGAGTTAGCCGAATATCTAAGAATAAGCCAAACATGATTACTTAGAACATCAAATTCAAACTCCAATACAAATAATTTTTTTTTTGTTAAAGCTCTCCAATACAAATAATTAAAGTAGGTTCCACATAATAACATAAGAGTACTAAAGTCTTAATTCAAACATAATTAAAACATCATTCAAACGGTAAGAGCAGCATAGATTAAATCCGACCAGCTTTATCAAGATCCCTTCCACCTACAGTTTATCATAATTCTCCTCATACAACATCACTGCAAGTTTCTCNGCCTCAGAAGGAAGAACCTCAGCTGTACTTCCAAACCACCAATAGCATGGGCTTGCATCAATAAGATAGCAGTTACACAAGAGTCAAAATGGTTTCCATTATGGGGAACACTTCTAGGTCTCTCCACATTGAAAGATTTAAGGTCTTTATGCACCTGGTTACAACCAACCTGTTTAAGTAACGTCGGGAACAACTGTGCTATGGCACTCAGCTCCTTCGAAATAGCTCTGTCAGACCTCAACGACACATCACAATCAAGTACATATATTGTAGAACTTGAACAGTTAACACAAATTCCA